TTAGCAAATTATAAGGAGTTTCCAGAGTTAAAATGGATAATTCATTCAGTGAATTATACAAAGGTTTCAGAGTTCAAAAGGGATAATTGAATTATTGAATTATATAAAGTTTTCAGAGTTCAAAAAGATAATTGAATTAGCAAATTGTAAGGAGTTGCAAGGCTTTTAACAGATAATTAATTTAATAAACTGTGAGGAGTTTTAAGACTTTAAAGAGATAATTAATTTTAAAAATTATAAGGAGTTTTAGTACTTTAAAGAGATAATTAATTTAATAAATTATAGGGAGCTTCCAGGTTTTAGAAGGATGATTAATTTAGTAAGTCATCAAGGAGTTCTGGGATTAAGAAAGACGAGTAGTTGTATAAATGAAAAAGGAGTTTTAGGATTAAGGAAGATAAATGGCTAAGTAATGTAATGTAATGTAATGTAATGAATTATAAAGGAGTTTTAAGGTTTTAGAAAGATGAATAATTGTATGTATGGTAAGGGAATGGTCGTTTTAAGAAAGATAAATAATTGTATAAATGAAAAAGTAGTTCTAAGATTTTAGATAGGTAAACAATTTAGTAAATTGTAAGGGATTTTTGGGATTAAGAAAGTCAAATAATTTAGTAAATGATATGGATTTTTGAGGTTTTAGAAGGAAATAAGTTATATTGGCGATAAGAAGTTTTAACATTTCAGAGAGACAAATAATCAAACAAATAACAAGGGAATTTCGGGGTTAGCAAAGATAAATAATTGTATAAGTGAAAAGGGAGTTTGCGATTAAGAAAGATAAATAATTGTATAAATGAAAAGGGAGTTTGGGGCTTTAGAAAGATAAATAATTTAGTTAGTTATAAGGGAGTTTTAAGACTTTAGACAGATAAGCAATTTAGTAGATGATAAAGGAGTTTTACGATTTAAGAAAGATAAATAATTATATCAATGAGGTATATACGATAAAGGGATCTTAAGATTAAAGAAAGAAATAGTTATGTAAATGACAAGCGAGTTTTGATATTTAAGAAAGATAAATCATTGCATAAATGGTAAAGGAACTGTGGGATATAAGTAGAAAATAATTAAGTTAATGATAAGGGAATTTGGGGATTTATGAAGGGGGAATAATTACTCAAATGAGATTCAAATGAAAAAGGAGTTGTGGGATTTAAGAGAGATAAATAATTATATAAATATGAAGGAATTTTGGGATTTAAGAAAGAAATGGTGATATAAATGATAAAGGAATTGTGGGATTAGAAAAGGGGGAATACTGATGTAAATGAAAAGGAAATTATGGCACTAAAGGACGAGAAATAATTATATAAATGAAAAACAAATGAAAAAGGAATAATGGAATTAAAGAGCGAGAAATAACAAAAAGACTGAAAAAAGTATAATTGGGTTAAAGAGAGAAGAACAATGAGATAAATGGGGTAATGGGATTAAAGAGAGAAATGAGGAGATGAAGAAGATTAAAGGAAAGGATGGAATCAAAGAAAGATAATGAGATAAAAGAGAAATGAGATTAAAAAGAGTTAAAGAAAGAAAGAAATAATGAGGTAAGGGGATAGATGGGTAAAAAAGGAAAGAATGGAATTGAAAAGAAAGATATAATGAGATGAAGTAAAACAGAAAAAAAACAGAAAATGAGACAAAGCAGAGTAAGAGACACTAACAGCAATTGAAACAGAGAAAAGGAGACAGAAGAAGAGGCAGAGAAAGAGAGATAGAGAAAAGGAGACAGCGAAAAAAGACGGAAAAAAGGAGACAGAAAAGGAGATGAAGAAGAGGAGATAGAGGAAAGATGGAATAAAAGAGAGAGAAAAGGAGATAAAGAAAAGGAAGTAGAAGAGAGGAAATAGAAAAAAATGGCAGCAAGAAGAGACAGAGAAAAAGGCAGAAAGAAGAAAAAGAGATAAAGAGGAAAAGAGTTGCAGCTAGAGAGGGAGCCGAGCCAGCAAGGGGAGTAGCCTGTTAAAGCAGCAAAAGCCGCAAGCAGCGGGGCCACAGCAGCAGCAGCAGCAGCAGCAGCAGCAGCAGCGTGACTGGTTTGCTGCTTCTGGCTGGGCGCAGCTGGAGGCTTGGGGCTTGCTGCTGCATGCGCCGGGGCTGGCCTGCGTGTGTGGGGGGCTTTTTATTAGGGCTGGAGCCGCGGGAACACCTTAGCCCGGCCTTCACTTTGGCCCGGCAAAATGTGCCCTACAGTCTGCAGCTGCAGGCCCACAGGTACTTGGCCTCGGAGCTGCTGGCCGACGTCTTCGCCATCTACGCCAACCACTACTGCGCCCGCCACTGCAAAGGCTTTTTCGAACAAGTCGACTCCGAGCTGCCCTGCATTGTGGTGAGTTGCGGTGTACAGACACCGCGCGCCCCGCACTGCCCCTGCGCTGTACGTACACTCCAGCTGCCCGCGCGCGCAGCGCGGTGCGCCCGCGGAGCTGAATCCTCACTTTCTTCCTGAAAAAAGATGTCCTAACCTATTAGACGATAAGGGCTTTAATTTAATAATAATTATTGTTAGGGCAGACACCGGGGGGAGGGCGGGGAGTCGTGACGCTGCTTGTCAAGTGTACAGACACCGCAAGGCCGGCTGCTCGGCCGTGCAGTCGCCGGCAGCCGGGAGGTCTAAGCAGCACTTTTCAATCCTCTTTCTCACTTTTGAATCATCTTTTCGGGTCTTCTTTTCGCTATTTTTCCAACACTTGTTGGGTCTCAGCGCCAAAGTCCAAACGAGCTGCTCCCCTAAACAGGTTCCTGTCTATCTCTGTGTTAATGAGTCTATTGGGGCTGCTTTGGCGCGCATTTATTTATTTCCCTTATGTTGTTTTTTCTCAACACCCCCCTGATCCGGCGCCTGCTGCGCCCGCTGCTCCACCCACAGCAGCAGCAGCAGCAGCAGCAATTTGTGCTGCTGGTGCTGCGGGTGGGCTCAGCGGCAAAAGGCTGGGCTTGGCTGCACTGGTCTGGTGGCTGTGGGGTCTGTTTGCTTTCGCCTACACGCGAAGACGCAGCCGCCGGAGTCTCCCTGCGAAGCTGCGGCTCCTGCTGCTTGGTGGCGCTGCCTCCCATTGTTACTGCTGCTGCTGCTGCTGCTGCTGCTGCTGCTGCTGCTGCTTGCTGCTGGCGTGGCTGACTGCGATTGAGGGCTGCTGGCGGTCCTGTGTGTACCGCGTAGGAGCTGTCGAAATGTGTGCGTCTGTGGGTGGTGTGGATTGTGCAAACTGGCGCATTTCACTGATTAAAAATGCTAACTTCGGGGCAAAAGCACTTTAAAATTTAGAATTTGGAGGTGCGAGTAAAAGTCCTGAAGCCGAGTGCGCGTGTTGCTTGTAGACGCGGCCAGGGCTTCTGTCTGAGGGCTACTTCGGGGTTTTCTACGGCTACCGAAATGCCACCAGCTTCCCCTGCGCCTACCCCGGCTGCGGCCACGTCTGTCAGCCCCAGTGCCGCTGCTACGAGATAGAGCGGGCCTGGCGCTGCCTGTGGACGCGGCACCAGCGGCGGGCGGCCGACCAGGGGCCCCGGGGGGCCCCCTCTTGAGGCGGCCCAAGGGGCCCAGGGGGGCCCCCTCTTGAGGCGGCCCAAGGGGCCCAGGGGGGCCCCCTCTTGAGGCGGCCCAAGGGGCCCAGGGGGGCCCCCTCTTGAGGCGGCCCAAGGGGCCCCGGGGGGCCCCTTGGGCTCTTGAAGAGCCCAAGCGGCCCCGGGGGGGCCCCTCTTGAGGCGGCCCAAGGGGCCCCGGGGGGCCCCCTCTTGAGGCGGCCCGGGGGGCCCCGGAGCGCCTCCTCTTGAGTCGGCCGAAGGGTCCCCGAGGGGCCCCCTTTTGATGCGGCCCAAGGGGCCCGGGGGAGCCTGCTCCTGAGGGGTCCCAAGCGGCCCCGGGGGGCCCCCTTTTGAGGTGGCCCAAGGGCCCCGAGGGGCCTCCCCATGAGGCGGCTCAAGGGGACTTAAAGGGCTCCCTCTTGAGGCGGCCCAAGGGGCCCCGAGGGATCCTCTCTTGAGGTGGCCCAAGGGGCCCAGGGGGCCCCCTCTTGAGGCGGCCCAAGGGGCCCCGAGGGGCCCCCTCTTGAGGCGGCCCAAGGGGCCCCGAGGGGCCCCCTCTTGAGGCGGCCCAATTTGCTCTTCTTCTCTGCAGAATGTCGCTGTTTTTTGCCAGACTTCCGGGCTTTTCCCCACACACTCCTCTGCAGCAGCTCCTGCGGAGTCTTTGCTTGCTTTTGCTTCTCGACTAATTGCCGTTTCCGCCGAACAAAGCCGGCGCAACTGCCAAGAAGATTGCTGAACTTGCTATTCACGTGTTTCTTTGTCTCGTTATCTTCTCTCCTGAACTTGTTATCTACTCGTTTCTGAATTCTTTCATCTACTTTGTTTGGAGCTGCCGTCGGTGCTGCAGCACCAGTCCTGCTGCTGCTGCTCCGTAGTTCCCTCAGACTCTGTTTGCTGTTTTCCCCTGTCTTCACTTCCTGCAGCGAGCGCGGTCGCTGCGTGTAGCCGCACCCGCTGCTGCTGCTGCTGCTGCTGCTTAGCAGCAGCAGCAGCAGCTGTTGCTGGCGGGGGCCGGAGGCGGCTCGTTTTGGGGCTGCATGCTCCCGCAGTTTTACTTCGTTTTGCCGTCGAGCGAAGAGGTATGAAGCACAAAATGAATTCAATTCAGAAACCAACGAGGAAGCAGCAAATAGTGGCGGCCTCTCGCCTTCTTTAGGCCAATTTCTAAGAGGAATACGGGACACTCAGTTAGCAGCTACAGCTTGCTGCTGCTGCTAACCCCCTCTAGAGCCCTGCAGAAAAGCCTAAAGCTGCATGCAGCTACGGAGGGGCCCGGGGCCCCCCAAAGCTTCTTAATGGACCTTTTGGGGCTTCCGTGGCTCCTCTGTGGGCCTCCTGGGGCCCCATGTCATGTCTGTCGTCACTGACACTATTTAATGTACTTTCTTCCAAGTATTTTTGCAATTTAAACCTTAAACTGGGAAATAAGTCGAATCCACTGAACTGGATTAACTCGTAAGTGACCATCAGGCCTTTCGTTCGGGGGAATCTTCTAAAAGACGAAAAAGAGGAATGTAGTTTTTGTTTCGAAACTCTTTATAGATGCGTTGCTGCAGCTGCTGCTCCCGCAGCAGCAGCTGCTGCTGCTCCAGAGGCTGCTGTTGCTGCTGCTTCATAAGCTGCTGTAGCTGCTCCAGCAGCTGCTGCTGCTGCTCCAGCAGCAGCTGCTGTTGCTGCTTCGGCAGCTGTTTGCGAAGAACACCCCTACAGCGCAGCCCCAAGAGCAAGGCAGAAGCTGCAGGGGCCCCCCAGGGGGCCCCAAAGGAGCAAAAACAGGACCTTTAGGGTCTTATAAATGTACCCTATGGGGCGCCCAGCTGCAGAGGCTAAAACTTCTGGCCAAACATCCAGGGGTCTGCGGAGGGGGTAGAAAACGCAGGAAAGAAAAGAAATGAAACAAAAATTAAATAAAATTGCAATTAAGAAAGAAGGCCGGCGAGGCACAGAAAAGCGGCGAAGACAGAAGCCAACGCAGGCAACTGCCACGCAAGCAAAAATAGCAAAAAGAAGAAACATAAAGCAGCTCGTGCACATAAACCCTAAACCCTAAACCCTAGAGACAACACCTGTAAGCATAAGCATGCGCGGAAAGCCTTACCATGATTATACGCCCTTCGTCGGCCCATACGGTTTATGTTTGCGTCTTGAGGGTTTACTGAGTGCACACGCCAAACCCTAAACCCTAAAACCTAAACCCTCTCCGCCAGGCGCACAGCCCGAAACCCTAACCCCGGAATGAGAGTAGATCTGGATTTGACTTCGTCTTATCTAACGAAATCTGGTTTGCTGAAGATGAGGCGGCAGCAGCAGTTGCTGCTGCTGCCTCTTCACTTACTGCTGCAGTTGCTGCCGCTGCCTCTGCGGTGGATGCTTGTGCTGCTGCCGCATTTACTGACTATCTTTGCTCCTCACTTACTCCTGTTGTTAGGATAAATAATGTCCCTCGCAGTAATGCTCTTCAGCTCATTTGCTGCAGTGCGGAAGGCTCTGCACACGTTTGCTGCAAAGATGGCCGGCAGCTGTGGCACGTCCAGCAGCAAAATGACGCTGGCAAAGCCGAGCCTGTAAGAGAATTTCAACAGAAGCAGCAAGTAGCAGCAGCAGCCAGCCTGTAAGAGAATTTCAACAGAAGCAGCAAGTAGCAGCAGCAGCCAGCCAAGTTCGCAGTATTCGACTTCTCAGGATCTTGCCTAGGGCTCTTCTGACTCTCCTGCTCCGCGGGACCAGCGGACAATCAGCTAGTGAGCTGATGCTTTCTTCTTACCCCGTACTTGTGGACATTTTGAAGAAATAACTCTACAAAAACAAGCGCGGAAATGAAACAAGGGATGAGTTGCAGCCCCACCGGCCGCCGAACTACGCCGACTCGTCACGGCAGGCAGAGGCTACAGGCGCCGCCTTGCTAGCGATTTGAAAAACAATTGCGTGTAATTTCAAGTTAGTTAATAGAATACTAAAGCTTCAAGTACAGATTGAGCAGATTGTACAAAAAGCCCCAGCAAGAGAGCCCTGAGGGGCTTGGTGGGTCCATTACGGGGCCCCAAGGGGCCCCCAGAACACACGAACGCGGATTCTCAGCACTAATACGAAAAGCCAAAATGCTTTAAGAATATTTTCTTATTCGAGCCTTAGGGCTTGTTGACCTAGAGTTAGTGCTTAACAACGCCGTAGTTATCTGACAGATCGGCGTGGGCGTTGGATGAGGGCAGCAGGCGTGCTGAAGTAGCAGCAACCTGAGAGCGATGACAGCAAAATAAGCTCGTCTACCGCAGTGAATAGAAGTGCATATTCTACAGAAAACGATCTGCTGTTGCACTGAAACATCACTGGGCTTACCGCCAACAGCTACAATGCTGCATAGGTGATGCACCGCCTGAACAGCGCCATATCGTACTCGGCAAATGCGCTTGTGCGAAAGAGAATACAAGAAAAGTGACGGGCTGGCCTGGAAAGACCCACAGAGTACACGAGACATTTGCGCAACAGTAGTCGCACATGTCCACTCGGCTAGTTACCGCCGTCGTCTTGAGCGCTTACACCCAGAACTAGTGCTAAAGTCCCTGCATTACAGCTCTACAATCTGCCGAGCACTTGCTTTTAGGCATCTAAGACAGCCTGATCATCACTGGCTGCATCACTTGACAGCACACTCAGTTTTGTACTGCTCAGCGGCTTTTGCTGCCACGCCGAATGCACGAATGCACTCGCAGTAGCAGAAAGAGCAACGGCAGTAGAGAAGATTTTCGCTGCTGGATTATAGCTACAGCGAAGCGGGGGAAGCAGCCGGACAACCAGCAGTAACAGTAGCAGCGGCCCTGGTCATTTGCGCAGTCCTTTAGCAACGGAATCTGCCATACAGTAAAGATCAGAAAGCCCCACAACGTGTGCAAGCTGGAATGTCTGTGGCAAATTTTCTGATGTATTTCCTCTTAACTCCAGCATTAACGGCCGCGGCAGCACAGCATCAATCTGCGGGAGTGCGCAGCTCGCTCATTGCACTCCTGCTGCTGCTGATACTCTTGGCTCTCAGCGACAGATTGTGGCAGCTGTTGCTGAAACTGCTGGTGTCACCTATGCTTCTCACCATGCTTTGATCGACGGCATAATCTGCACAGGCGCCTGCTGCAGCAAGGGAGCTCACTGCTGCTGCTGCCGCAGTATCTGCGGCTGATAGTACTGCACCAAGTATTGCCGTTTCAACGAATGATGCCGAGCTGGAGCGCACATAGCAACCACAGAATAACACCTCAAATGGCATACATCTCACTTTGCTCTTCAAGGGGTTCCGAAAAGCTCTCCTAACACTCCTTATTGCCTATGACGCTGACTGGTTCAACTTAGTGCTGCGTCACTTGTTACTACTGCTTCCGTTGCTGCTTCCATATTTTTGTCCTCCGAAGCATTGCATGCTAGGGCAGAAGCTACAGCAGGAGGACTGGCAGCAGTGGCAACTGCAGCAGGAGCGGCGACAGCAGCAGCAGCAGTAGCTTGCCGGATATTCATTGATTGAAAAATGAGCCGGGTGTCTGTGTACTGAACTGATTAAGCGAAGTGTCTCTGCATTATTTGCTGCTGTTTTGTTGTTTCATTTTTGTCTCTGGCAGCGGCAGCTGTTGCCGAAGGCCGTGATTTGGCTGCATGTTGTATTCCTTGTAATCAAAAGTTTGTTGCTCACCTCCGTCACTGCATCTCCTGCTACCGCTGTTTCTGGTGCCTTCTTTTGATGGTGCCGGCGCTGCTACTGCAGTGTCTGTTGTTGCAGCAGAAGATGCTGCTGCGGCAGCTTCCGTTATGTGAGCCATTAATATAAGACGTGCGTGCAAGACACCCGTCCCAAAAGAAAACCCTCGCAAGTGTTTAGCTGCACAGCACTGGGTCGTGTTGCTGCTACTGTGTTTGTTGATTCTGTTGCTTCCGCCGGGTGGCTTAGAACTTTCGTTGTGTTTGCTCTGGCGCTGTCTCCCTAGCAGCTGCCAGCAGCAGCGACAGCAGCAACAGTTAGCTACCACTGCAGCAGCACCTTGTACATTCGCTGCTGCTGCGGCTCCCCGCAACATGAGTAGTCAGACCTTTGCTAGAACTCATTCTCCAAAGGACAAGAAACGATCAAGGCAAACAACAAGCCTTTCATCCGATGCCCCAATAAACTTTGAGCCTTATGCTGTACACCAAGGCGTGAGTCGAGCGAGTCTGTGAGCACCGTCACCTAGGCCTGATGTTTTGGACGTGTAGCTAACGTTTTGTGTTCATGTTTTTTAATTCTAAGCTGTTTCGGATCTACGGTTTGAAGTTCAGGTTTTGTTACGCCCTAAAACCTACGCCGAAAGTGCCCAGTAGTTACGCATCGATCGGGCCATGCAGCTGCTGCTGACCTTGCTGGTTCTCTTTCTACTGCTGGTGCTCGCAGCACACACTGGAAGCCAGTGTTTGAGCCGTGTAAGTGCAGAGAAGGCCAGCTGGGCAAGCTTCCGGGGACATTGCGGAGCATGCAACTAGAGACGAAGATTCCTGTACGGATGCGCCAGAAGCTTCCGCTTCTGAGCAATTGCCTAAGCGTGAACTGCATCATAGCACAGTTCGAGATATGCTCTAGAGGGAAGTGATACTTTTCATTTATGGCTTTCGCACAGTGAGAAATTCCCAGCAAACCCAGTAGTGCCGATGACCCTAGAACTACCCAGAACATTTCTAAGTTCTACTGGGAAAAAAGAGAAAAGTGGACTACTCCCGTATTTTTCATTGTGAGGGCTTCCCTATCCATCCAAAATTAATTTCTGCTTCAAATATGCATTTCACCTTGAGCTCTAGTGCCTCACTGGTTAGTAATGGCCTGATTAGCTAGTATTTGACTAATGTTATCTTGTTTGAGCGTCAAATCGCCCGTGCAAATACAGTTTAAATAAACCCGTGCCACAAATGCCTATATAGGCTCAAATGAGCTGCTGATGTGACTCCCCTCAGCTTTAGAGAGGGACAGGCACCCGCGGTATAAAAACGTATCTCACGCATGCTTCATGTATTCCTTGCATCAGACTTTCCATGTTTTTGTAGTACGAAGTATACCAAGGATAGCTCATTGTCTCTCCAAGACAAATGCTTCCTGATCCACACAAGCAGCTGAGCGGAGACGCGGAATCTGAGTTGCCAGACTAGGAAAAAAGCCCTGCATCTCAACTGAATTACACAGTGCTCCCACCACAACTATGAAATGAATCAGGTCATGGCTTCTCAAATTGGCTTCAAGTTCCACACCAAGGACGTCTTTAATTGCAAAGACGATGCGGAGCAACGATGTCATGTCCAGCGCTGGGCGATGTGAGATCCCCAGAAGGACATGAAGGGCCGCAATTCCTAGATTTTGTGGCTTGTAAAATTTTTAAGTGACAGGCGAGCTCTGGGGTACTCTCCTGCCCGTGGATGCTGCAAGTCTTTGCTTGGGCCTCTTTTGGAGCATCGACTCGGCAGACACACGCTACGAGCATCCGTAAGGCCCTCCTTATTCTGTATTGTTCATTTTTAATTTTGAATTTTTGTGGTTTCTTTTTCGTTTGCGCTGTTTTATCAGTCTATAGGTTGCCATCGCAGAAATGTACCCTGTCTCGCACTGCTGACTGCGCACGTGGAGCCCAGCACCAGCTATTTTGAAGTTCTGATTCTATTGGCTGGCTGAACAATTAAACTACCACTAACAAACATGCTTACATAAGCGGCTCTGGTATTATTTGTTCGCATGAGCACATGGTAAAGAATGCAACACTATTCAATCAATGTGTGTGAAGGAGTCGCACAGACGGATCAATGAATGAGGCTGCAGAGAAATATTCCAAGGCAAACATAGAAGGCTGCAAGAGCTCCCAAAATATTTTCTTTTTGATACTGTTTTTTCTATTCAAACACAAAAATATTTACAAAATTTAGTTTTGTATTATTTCCCTGCTCATCTTGAAAGCTACAACGACTGGCCCCAGTTCACGGGGACCACTCGATTGCAGCGCCAATGGACCCCCATAAATACTTGCGGGCGTTTGCTCTGCGAGACGCCCGCAGAGATTGGTTGAAATTTTTTTTGTGTAATGCTTATTTGCTATAAAAGTTTTATTTAGTAGTGTATAATCACGTTGCAGCAGCAACGTCGGCCAGGGACAGCTGGCGGCACTAAAACTCATGCGAGAGCAACCAGCAGTAACGCCACTGAGGCCAGCATTTTCACTCCTCAAGACATCAAGGGGAAAGTTCACACAGAGACTGGAAACTCTTGTTGAAGAGTCCGTGCCAGGAAGTCCTCCGGCAATAGCAGAAAAGGCAGCAGTGCCGCCTCGCAGTCCAGCCTTACTATCTATGAAAAGAACTCGAACAGCAACAGCACAAAGGGCAGCAGTGCCGCATCGCAGCCCTGCGTTGCTCTCTCCCCCTCACTGTCCTGAAGTTCCATTGTTCTAAATAAGAGGCAAAGGGGGCATTCCACTGGACATGAAGAAAGCCAGTAATGCATCGGGAACGTCCGAGGTGCCAATGTCGCCCGTGAAGACTTTTGAAAGCACCGGGGGCTTACTGGGGGCTTTGAAGTTTCGGGCTCGAAGGTGCTGGGGAGTCCATGGCAGGAGTGAATATGGAATATCCTCGGGAGTATGGCGCCCCTTATCAATGTCAGTTGCTCTGCTTGTTGCACTTACGCTGCTGCTGGTTCCTGCAATTGATGTGCACGCGGTCACTCTCGCTCGTGAAGCTGGTCCCAGAGAACATACCAGCGCTTCTGGAGAGGAGACACAACGCGATGATAGTGATTGGGTTCTAAAGATATTGACAAATCGGATGAAAAAAACCGCTGAATGGAAGTCTCAGCTCTTTCCTGGCAAGGCGCAACAGAGCCAAGATGGCACCCCAAACCACCTGCTGCACAGATTTCTCTTAAACTCTGCCACAACGACCTTCCACTTAGGCGAATTCTCTTCGTTGTTTTCTAGAGCACGGAAACAACCAGAAGTGGTAGTAGAACACATACGCAGCGCTAGCAATCGAAAGAAGGGGCTACCGTCTCGGCGTGGCCGCGACGGTCCCGGGAGACCCAAGCAGACGCCCTCCTCTATCCCCGGAGCAGCAGCGCATGCATCCCAGGAATCCTTTTTGAACATTTCTGCCAGTGGTAAACCAAGAGGGGGCATGTTGCGGGCCTGGGGTTCGCCTCAGCGGACGTCTTCACCTCCTGTACAAGAAGACTCTGACTCCAGTGGTTTCTGGGACAATGGAGCGATTCCCCTGCAGTGGAGACCCAACATGCATGACGTGACAGCATCTGGTAGGGAACCAGCCTGCGTTGCTACCAGTGCCGCTGCGTACGCGGACGTGGCTGCTGTGGTCATTGCTGCTCCATCATATTCTATTGTTGTTCATGGAACATTTATCTTGTTAATGACATGCTAAGACTATGAATGCCTTTTAGTGACGTTGCCCCGATTAGCATGTTATCTTGTCTCTCTTACTCTGTGTCTCCTGTGTAGGCTTTTCTCTTGGACGCTTAGCGACATCACGGGAGACAACGAATTCATATTTGTTTTCAGCAAACGGGAGCCCGCAGGATCCCGTGCTAAAATCTCAGCAGTGGTATGCTTAGCCCCTCCCCTAGTCCTTGCCCTGCCATCTCATGTTGGGTAATAGCCTGCATTCTAAGTAGATTTGATTGGGTCTACAGCCATGCAAAAATAGGACCTCTAAAACAGCGAAATGCCTTTTCTCAGGCTACCAGAGATGCAGCTATGCAAATGCCAACGTTGAAGAGGTAACGCTTATATTTACTGGTGTTTTAGGAACGATCTAAATAAACTTGTAGCCGACGTGGAGAAAGTTTATCAAGATGTTTTCGTTATTACTGGGCCCCTTTGGCTTCCTTACGATATTGCCGGTGCAATGCCCGGGATCTACAATGAGAAGTCGAAGAAGGGTTTTCGCCAGGTGTTCGCATGCCTTCGGTGAGACGTTGTGCAGATCGCTATCTATATGATCACGAGCACCGTTTTACCATGACTTACAGCTTCTTCAGGAGACCCCAGGGCTTCCATGGTGTCTTTGTTGGGCTATGCACAAAATAAGCCTTTCAGACAACTGCGGGTATGCTGTCTGCTTGCTTGCTTGCCAACGTAGGCCATGGAAAGGGGAAGCGGAGGCGTTGCCTTTGAGCATAGAAGCATTAGAAGGCTTTTCACAGCCAGCACCTGCAGGGAGGAAAAAAGTGTATTACGCTTTAACAAGGATGAACGAAGATACTGCAGAGTTACCAGCAGACCTTACAGCGCCTTGGTTGGTCACTGAACCACCCTTAGTAAAAGCTTTTGCACTGTGCCGCAGAAGGCTCCAGTTCGATACAGGAGAGCAGGATGCGTTGCCTGTCATGCACGCAAAGGTCATCTCTGTCGGCTATAACTTCATCCATGTCCCTACACATTTTTTCAAAATCATCTTAGGAATCAGGCCAAAAGCGCAGGCTGCACCTCACGGCATCAACCAAACTCAGGCTCGGATGCAGGATCAGGCTCAGGCCAAAAGAGACAGTGGCCCGTTGGCAACACTTTCCCCCGCTGCTTTTGGTTCGTTTCTTGTTCCAAACCAGCCCATGGGTCCAGTAGTGAGCATTGATCGCCTCAGAGTTCCGCTTACATTCTTAGAGTCCGTGAGCGGCATGGATTTCTCTGTAAGTGGTGCCGATGCTTGTAGAACGCAGATTACAGGGAAAAAAGCAAATGAATAATCGTAAAAAGGCAGCACAAAACTGAAAGGCCGACTGGGAATATGTATAGTGGGAGCGTAACTCATTTGTCTTGCCTCATCTCTCAGTTCATCTCCGATCTTCTGAAGGAATCAAGTGATCATTTTAGTCAAGTGAAACAAACAACGGCGGAGCGAGCGACTGGAGACGAAGAATCTCCTGCAGATGCGCCAGATGCTTCGGCTTCTGGGCAACTGTTTGGGCATGAAGTGCATCAGAGTACAGTTCGAGGGATACTCGATAGGGAAATGATGCTTCTCACGTTTGACATTTGTTCAGTGAGAAATCCCAACAAACCCAGTAGTCCTAATGAGGCCAGTAATGCTGGGGACGCTTCTACATTCTGCTGAAAAACGCAGAAAGGTAGGCTATCTCCGTATTCTCCATATCTGTAACTGTCCGATGTCGTCCTTTGCTATCCCTGCTTCTCTCCGGCTTGCAGGGTGCCGCATGCTTCTTGGGGATTGTGAGTCTAAAAATGGGTCCAAAATGGACTAACAATACTTTAGACCGTACGGTCTATCTGCAGGTGGTTTACTGCTTTTTGCTTCGGCCGAACTCACCCGATACTGCCTGTAATGACATTTGTTGCTTCAATTGTCTTTTGAGACCTGACCCTACACCTGGAGCCGCGCTTTAGGTTATACACGCATGTATGCATGAGGCAATAAGCACGCGCAAGCATGCATGCTTCCAATCTACAGGGGGCACAATAAGCTCTTACTGCCTGCCTCTTCTAATGTCTACTTCCCTGTAACAGTGATACGCCGTGGGTGCTTTCATGAGGCCGATCCATGTGGACTGCGATATGGTAGCATAGATGAAACGCAGCCCCAGGATGCCAGGATGCCGCTGTACGTATTGTAGACAAGCAGGACCCAAAGACGGTGGGATGCAATGCCCTCACTTGTACCTCGCCCACTTTCTGAAGAGCTCTGTCTACAGCTTTCTAGAAACAGTTTGAGCCTGGAATAGGTACTACTGAGATCTTCACTATTCGTACCGTAGTTGCTCTCCTAGTAAGCTCCTTCCCTTTAACAGCTTTTATCTGTAGCCTCATAGGTTAATTTTTTTGTGGCATGTGGACTGCATTGGTCAGTTTGTTTCTTGATTATCCAGGCTTTTTCATATGCCGTTGGAGGGTCTATACTTTCACGATTGCATGATGCGCATGTTTCTTCGTTCTCTCTGGCCCATAAGTTTCTTTTTCTAATGTTTCGGGTGTTGGTACTCGTTTTGACTAAACTTCTGTATCCTTTGTGTCAGTAAAAGCTAGCAAGTTCAGCTTCTCTACAAAAGTGGCCTGTACAGTGCTTTTGCAGCCACTGGCTCTCCTACTGCTTTTGAGTTTCCTACTGCTGGCTACAACCGTTTCAGAGCTTTACATACAACGCAGGGCGTCTACACATCGCGTGCCAGTGGCCTGCAGAGGCAAAGGGACATTAATGACCTACCAAGTCGTTGACCCTCTACGTTTCCTCACTATTTTGCCTTTATCCCTCATAGACGCCCTGAGATGAGAAGTTCAAGCACTTCAGATCGATAAGCTGTGGCCAGCTGAAGCGACTGCAGGATCTTAGGTCTGCAGCTTGTTGAGAACCCTTAAAGATGACAAGTGACGGTAGCAAACGGGCAGAGCAGCCACACAAAGGCTCGCATGTTCCACATGACACATTGGGGAGGTCTTACGTGAGACATCTCCAGCACCAGCACAAGCAGTAGACTTGGTGTTGGCATACGTGCATTTTCGCATTCCTCAAGCTGCCATGCATCTCAGCAGAAGCATAATAAGGCAATATTCAACTTGATAGTACTGGTGAGATATCAGCTATGTAAAATTCTTGCGCTAGGAGGAAATATGACTTGGATGAAGGCTTCCCTTTACCCCGAGTCGCTTTGAATAGTACGATGGTTAGGCAAGGCGTCCAGGGGCTAAAGAGACAGCAGCGACTCCCAAGCCAGAGAAGTGAGCAAAGAAGCGACCAAAAGCAAGCGTGACAGTGGCAACAGCACTACCAATGACATCTGGCTCATCTAAATCAAACCATATTCAACGAAGGTATTCAGGAAAAGCCATGAAAGAAACACCGGTTGGGGCTGCCATTTACTCGACCACTAACTCCAATTACTGCCGCATGTGGGACAAACGGGAAAACGTGGGCACGTGAGATAGAAGTAAACCAAAGCTAGAAGTCAGAAACACTGTTACGAGGTTGTGACAAATTGGCAGTAGCATGAAGTGCAACCGCCAAACAGCAACAGCAGAACCATGAGCAACGCTGCAGCAACGGGAAAGATACGCAGTCTATTCTCACTTTCGTAAAGCTTTGCCTTTCGCGTTTTGTTGCAAGGGTCGAGGAAACTGGTGTCTCTTCTCAAGCACATGAGTTTTTTTAACGCGTTAAGTACTATGATGAAAGGACGGGGTCCCTCAAATGAAACACGCGGTAGCCCTTGGGGCTTTTTTACGGGGTAATAGGGTAATAGCCAATGTATAGGAGACTGCAAGCATTAGTCTTCAAGGAGGCAACGCTGCCAAAATGGAGTTTGATGGAGCCCTCGGGATCATTCAGGGATTACTGAGGAGTGTTTAGGACCCCGTAAGCAATCGTTCAGAAAGAGAAAGCCTTGCTGAAGTGGAACTTGAAGGAGCCCAGAAGACTTCTTCAGAGTAGAGCCCCTTGACACACAGTTGTCTCCTCTTGAAGGAGCACAAGCCGTAACTAGACTGGGCCGAGAGTCAGATAACAAATAAAGAAGAGACGCTGAAGAGAACAGGATCCGCTATACTTGTCCCCAGTGTCATGAATGCGAATGCCTTGTGAGCCATTTGATACGCGCGCGAAAGACTCAAATTTTGGTTGGTCAAGATTTCTGAAACCTGCTATATCCTAATGCCTTGAAGCTACGCTTCGCAGCGGCAACTCCAGTACTTGAAGGTGACTGCTTGGGAAACTTGCGGCCAGCAAGGCCGTGGAAGCGGAACACTGAAGTAATGACGGCCATATGAGTGCTGAGACCAGTTCCTGAGAAAAGGATTAGGAACACAAAAGATCACAACACGGAGCGGGCAGCACCAACAAACGCCACACAGAAGACTTGTACGCTTCCATTTATTGTCTCTACTGAAGCCTACTAGATGAAACTGGGTAAGGCGAAACACATTAAACGAAGCATTCGCCAATCCGAAACACATTAAAGGAAGCATTCGCCAATCCAGCGCATTCGCCATCGTGGAAAATATTGCAGCTACGATGGTCTTCTCAAGTGGGTCCTAGTATATGAACCGGCCCCACGACCCGCACTTCTGCGCCACCACGAAGCATGAAAAGTGCCAATTTTGCAAACAGTCTGTGCAAAAGCGTTTTGCCGCCCAGGCGAACTAGTGCGTCACGAGTACTTGCAGAAAGTTCGCTTATGGAGAGCTACTCTCATCGAAGTACGCTTCGGGTGAAATACAGAGCAGATATCGTATTTCGGAACACTGAAGTAATGACGGCCATATGAGTGCTGAGACCAGTTCCTGAGAAAAGGATTAGGAACACAAAAGATCACAACACGGAGCGGGCAGCACCAACAAACGCCACACAGAAGACTTGTACGCTTCCATTTATTGTCTCTACTGAAGCCTACTAGATGAAACTGGGTAAGGCGAAACACATTAAACGAAGCATTCGCCAATCCGAAACACATTAAAGGAAGCATTCGCCAATCCAGCGCATTCGCCATCGTGGAAAATATTGCAGCTACGATGGTCTTCTCAAGTGGGTCCTAGTATATGAACCGGCCCCACGACCCGCACTTCTGCGCCACCACGAAGCATGAAAAGTGCCAATTTTGCAAACAGTCTGTGCAAAAGCGTTTTGCCGCCCAGGCGAACTAGTGCGTCACGAGTACTTGCAGAAAGTTCGCTTATGGAGAGCTACTCTCATCGAAGTACGCTTCGGGTGAAATACAGAGCAGATATCGTATTTCAAGAGCTTAAGCTCGTTCTCTACAAGCGCGTTCTCTTCTTCAGTAAAAGCCATGGTTCCCCTGAAACGGCCTGAGGCAGAATGGGCTGTCTCTGTCCTTCTTGCCAGAGATCGTGGCGCTTGGGATGTTCTCTGTCTCACTACATCCTCTACGCTTTTACCCTCAGCGACGTCGATGATGTCCCTTACAACCTGAAAAGACGC